CCACACACACACACACACATGCATCATTACAGTTGGGAACGGACGAATTGTTGTTTAAATTTGTCTTCTTAATCAAATTCACTTTCAGGACCCACCATTCGAGCGGTTTTCTGGATCCTTACATCAGCAGCCTCCCCCTCCTAATCCTCACCGAGGTTCGCACATTTACCAACGGGTGATCAACGCAGACAGTCGGCCATTGTCCAATGTGTGGGCCTATAATCAGCCGGGTGAGTCGGAGATTGTGTAGGCTGCTCACTGGGCTCACTAGGTCAGCAGTAAGCTTCAAAATAATCATTGGACTAAAATAATAATTGGACTAAGATAATAATTTGATTGAAATAATAATTAATAACTAGACTAAAATAATAGTTGGCCTAATTGAACTAAATAATTGGACTAATTAGACTAAATAATATTTGGACTAAATAGGAGGACTAATTGGACTAAACAATTATTGGACTAATTGGACTAAACACTAATTGGTCTAAATAATAATTGGACTAAATAATAATTGGACTAAACAATAATTGGACTAATTTGACTAAATAATTATTGGACTAGAGTGGTGGAGATATGCCCAATCCAACATTATACAAAAATTGGAGGGATATCATGACAACTTTATTTTCTATTTTTGAAAAATCCATGTCCAAGTTGTACAATTTTTTATCTTGTCCCCAAACATGCCACTGATACCGGCAGGTCACTGTCATCTGTGGTGTAGCCGTTAGATGCTTCGCTGTCGCACGCAGGAGACCCGAGATCGACTCTTGAGTTGGGAGAAGATTTTTATCGAGTATCTTTAGTCTGTCTGCTGGGATGTTGTATCCCTCTCAGCCCATGTCTGTCTGCTGGGATGTTGTATCCCTCTCAGCCCGGGTCTGTCTGCTGGGATGTTGTATCCCTCTCAGTCCGGGTCTGTCTGCTGGGATGTTGTATCCCTCTCAGCCCGGGTCTGTCTGCTGGGATGTTGTATCCCTCTCAGCCCGGGTCTGTCTTCTGGGATGTTGTATCGTTTGACTTGAACGCCCCGCCCTGAGCTAGCTCCGCCTTTTTTCGTTTTGTGATCAGATTAAGTCAAACTTTGTTCCAGATTTTAAGTTTGGTTTAGTTTTAGTAGAGGTTTTACTGCGCTCGCAACTGCATAAGGTCATATGAGCGCCAGAAGATTAGAGGTGTTACAAGAGAGTAACAAACATAAAAAGAAGGGGTGGAGATAAAGACGATAGACGTTTGATAGGAAAGAATAAGCAAGAAGCAAACCACACCAGAGCACCCACCAACCACCCACCCAGATTTTAATAGTGTAAGCATTGTTGACAAAGACTTGCCAATAAAAATAAAAGATAAGTGAACAAAATAAAATAATGACTTGGAAAGGTTGGTGTCAGTTAAGGAACGTAGTTATTGTAAGACCTGCCATTATTTTGTTTAGAAGACCAAAACATTGTTTAGCAACGCTGTGAAATCAGGCGCTCGTCAATTTTGGGCGTACGGGGGCTATTGGTATTGTCTTAAAGGTTGTTCATTGGCCTTGGTTTTTTTATGAATACCCATCTATCTTGAATAGAAGTTGAGATACTTGCGATTGAAGGAGGTGGGGGTTAGCTGGTTTCAGCGGTAAAATTTGCGAAAAAATGGTCGCCACAGTTTGATGAATTCCAAAGCTTGAGTATCCTTGGAAACTGAAAACTACATGTTTTTGTGCCTTTTCAATGAAAAGCTACACAAAAGTTAATGTATTCTTAAATTGATGATAAAACGTGTTGAGCCTGAAAAAAAGATAGAAGTTGCCTAACGCGCTGAAAAATGTCGGTTTCTTTTATATGGTTATTATGACGAGAGCCTGATTTCACCACAATGCCACGCATAATATTATAACTCATGAATAAATTAATGATGATCCAACTTTAAAGTTCCGATTTCTTTTCTGTTTTCTCTGTGCAGATGAACAGATGTGAAGTGAACCTCCTGTTGTGGTGTTCCCTCGGACAAGATAATCCCTCTGAGTACAGAGTTACTGCCTGCACGTTGACTGACTCGTGGAGGAGATGACATTACTGTTGTCATCAACTGATGGACTTTAAAAAAATATCTCATATCTTGGTCCAATATAATATGTGGAACAGATTACCTATGGAACTAAGATAAACAAGAACACTTGATAGCTTCTAAAGACATCTTAATCATTTACTGTTCCTACAGGTCTATCCTTCTTAAGCTTTTAGCGTTATTTTTATTATAGTTGTTCTTTGCCAACATCTGAAAATAGTCCGTGTGTGTGTGTGTGTGTGTGTGTGTGTGTGTGTGTGTGTGTGTGTGTGTGTGTGTGTGTGTGTGTGTGTGTGTGTGTGTGTGTATGTGTGTGTGTGTGTGTG